CCCTTGCAGGTTTTTCGAGTTAATTAGACGATTCAAGTGATTCGTTGAACACCCTACTAGTATACTTTTTCATGATATTCTAATATTTAGAGATAGGATATTTGAGTTTTCTTAAGCTGTATGCCATAATCAGCAATATTAAAATAATAAAAGGCTTGCAATATTTCAGTTGATTTGTAATGAATCCAGAATGTATGACATTTTTGTTTTTTTAATTGCATTACGGAAAATAAAGAACTTTATCACAATATTCTAATTTTCTGAGACAGTCCTGTAGGACTTTTGGGGAAAGAAAAGCAGTAACTGTGTTAAATCTCACTTGTTTAATTTTGTACTTGTTCAAATAGTTGCTATTTCCAAGAGGTTTAAATTATCCAGGTTCTCTGCCTAGATTACCACCCAGTGCGATTCAACGCATTTTCTCACATGATATGCAAATGCAACAGAAAAAGCAGCAGCACAAAGAGACTGCCTGGAATCTTTCTGGCGGTTTCCTGCTTTGTTACACACTTGTGCATCTTATTTTTCATAGCTGTGCCTGCAAATGTACCCATCAGCACTTTCATCTTTGTTGAGACCAATTTTTAAAATGACTCATTTGTTTCTGTCCCACTGAGTAGGTAAAAGACACGGTGCTAAATGATGATGACATCGGGGACAGCTGCCACGAGGATTTCCTCCACAAGTAAGCACTCTCCGGTTCAGGCAAATGGAGATGGATGATGAACATCGTCCATTTAACACCCGTCAACCTTCCAATGATGAGTAATAGCCCTCCACTTAGCCGAAGTTGGCTACGGAGAAGGGTCGAAAGCTAAATCGCTGTTAGGGTTGAGAGAGTCCGGAAAGTCTGTTGTATGCAATCGCTCACAGTGGAACAGAATTAACTCAGCATCCTGTGGTGATGAAAAATCATCTGTACACTGGAATTGATTTAGTTGCATCTTCAGGATTTTATAGCTGATGAAGATGCTTAATAAGAGAAAAACAGACTAGGTGTGTGTGGGGGGCAATGTATGATTTATTTAAAACTAATCAGGCAAAAGTTATATTTTGGCCAACAAATGAGGACTTAAAGGGATATTTAGAATGTTTTAAGTGGAATTCTTCGCAGTGGCACATAAAGCCAAAATGGCCTAACTCTTGAGAACAAAAATACCTCGGATTCCTTAGATCTTCCTTAGATCTTCCTTGGATCCTCTCTTGATGTGCCTTAGACCTTCTGTGGATATTACTTGGATCTTCCCTGGATATTCCTTGGATCTTCCCTGGATGTTCCTTGGATCTTCCCTCAATGTTCCTTGGATCTCCCCTTTAACTTCCTTGGATCTTCCCTGTATGTTCCTTCGATCTTACCCGGATATTCGTTCGATCTTACCCGGATCTTCCTTGGATCTACTGGCAATCGTCCACATTGTTGAGCCAACAGAGCATGCACACTTAAGTTGTTCTTAAGCCCCGCCTTGACGGAGCAGCAGCAAAATGTATTATATACCTAAATAAATTAAAAGCAGTTTTAGTGCTTGAGTATTTATACTACTTTACATTGATCTGCCAGACAGCCGTTTCCCACGGGGAAGTGAAGTCCTTATCTATACTTTCTTAAAAGTCACCAGAATTCATTGACATTTTTATTTTATTTCACTACCCAGTCACACAAACCTACTAACCCTGTTGCCCCCTTCGTAAACAGAACATTGCTCTTCTCCAATGCTTATACTCCCGCCTGTTTCCCCACTTTAAAACATCTTGACTATCCCTTTAAAGTGTGAAATGGACTATTTAATACCTAAGAATATATTCAAAAGGCCAGAATAGGAGCCAAACTACATGAGGAGAAATGTAAACATAATAATATTAACTAGTAATAGATCTCCACTGGCCCAGCGCAAGTTGCATTAATCTTAATTCCTCCTCTATGTAAAGCTGCGTGAATGTTTTTCAGATCCCTCCTCTCAATCATTATTACTGAAAGCTGTCATTAATGATTACAGACATGCTAATTTAACTAATTGGCTCTAATTTGCACGTCTTTGTCTCTGTGTTTTAGAGCCGTCAGCTCTCATCTGCAGACTTGCGGCTGTTCAATAGTAGTTGGAAGCAACCCGGAGAAAGTAAATAAGGTAAATGAATTTGCGCATATCCAAATCGGCAATGTATCTACATGAGTTTAAATGTAATGGAGGAGGTTTTCAAAGTGTAATGAGCCCCTCAGTCTCTGTTATTGCTTGATTTGATGTTTTGATTCTGCGTCTGGGCTTTTGCAGCTCCGCTACTGCAGCAACTGTTTACAAAATTATAAAAGTTATATGAGAACGCATATACTGGAAGCTGCTCCATATGGGCAGATATTGGAATCAAACGGATAAAAGTGGGACATGCTAACCAAGAAGGAAAACTGATATTGCACACCATAAGGTGTTTGTTTAACATATATTTTAGAAGAAAAGAGCCACTAAGAGTTTGTCCAATGAATATCAAAGGGCTACCCAGCCTTCATTTGTAGGTTTGTATTGACTCCAGGCCTGAACTGAGCACCAATTAAATCAAGACTTTCCTTAATTATTTATTATATTATTACCTAGCCTCAAGCTTAATGTCAGATGGGGTCTAGCTAAATTCGGGCTGCTTCAGTACATTTTGTGCTGATGAAGCTTCTTGAATAATTGTGCAGAACAACCAGAAAAATCCATGTTTTAGAAAGTGAAGCCTAACACCAGTGGTGTAATGTAGTGGAGTACATTTACTGAAGTAATGTACTTAATTACAATGTTGAGGTACTTGTACTTTACTTGAGTATTTTAATCTTGCTTTAATTTTTGCAGATTGTGCGGACTCTCTGCCTCTTCCTCACCCCAGCAGAGAGGAAGTGCTCCCGCCTCTGCAAGGCTGACTCTTCTTTCAAATATGACACAGGCCTTTTTGTTCAGGGCCTGCTAAAGGTAGCTACCACCTCACTCTCATTATACAGCACAGTTTGATCTGAATTAGAGCCTGCTCATTGTTCTGTTCTGCCTGCCTGTTTGATGTTGTCCTGACCTAATTTCTCTTTCCGACTTGTTGCAATGGGATATTTTTATTAGTGCACTGCATGAGATTCAGATGTTTTTCATGCACGCAGATTTTTGTATTATCATTGAAATACAATGTGCAAATTAACATTTTGTATATTGCATAACTACATGTTTTTCTGAACTCTTAAGGGGCAAGCACATATCAATAATATGGAAAATTAATTATTTGCTATTTTCTAATGTATCTAGGCTAAAATTCACCTTTAGTTTTTTTCAAAAGATGAACTTAATTTTCCAAATTACACTGTGTATTTCCGGAGATACATTGCCCATTGAAGGTATACAATTTTGAAAATATTAAACTCATATTACAGACATGTTAAATGTATGATATACCCACGATACACCCATGTTACATCCATATTACATCCATATTACACCAATATCACATACATATTACATTGTTATGACACCGTTATTACTCCTATGTTAGGCCCTTTTCCACAGCCATAATACACCCCTATTAGATTGTTTTTAAATTGTCCCGCCGTCCGTCCGTCCATCCAACGGACGGACAACTTCTCACTTCAAAAAAGAAGAAGAAATCTAGATCGCAAAATAATTAAACAAGCGAGTGACTGTTTTTCCTGGCCGAAGACAGGTTCCTTGAACACAACACGAGCGTAACGTGTCTTCACGTGGTATATGTCTCGTCTGAAAGGAGTGCTGACGGAGAGCACCGGAACGCCGCTCCAGCTCTTCAAATATTACAGTACCCATAAGGAGCCGTACCAGCCGTACACATGCCACAGTGTTTGCGTGGCTGTGTCTTTAGTTGAAAGCACGGTGGCGATCTGTTGTTATTAGCATCTGGTTAGCTAGCTATGCTAACCAAGGCCGGATTAACCATATGGGCAACCTGGGCAAGTGCCCAGGGGCCCTTGAGTAAAGAGGGCCCTCAGTGACAAGATGAAAAAAAAATCTTGTGCGATGAAGATGGTCATTGATATGGGGCTGGATCTCTCAAACTGCCATGGCCAGGCTTATGACAACGCATCCAACATGTCAGGAAAATATAATGGGCTGCAAGAAAAGCAACCCACTCATACATTACATTCCGTGCGCAGCACACTCCTTGAATTTGGTTGATGTCAACTGTGTTGAAAATAGTTGTCGTGAAGCAAGCCAGTTTTTTTATATACTTCAAGCACTTTATGCTTTTTGCTCTGCTTACCCACCGATGGAATAAAGTGTTCACTGAAAACGTCACACTGACGCTAAAATCTCTCTCCTGAACAAGATGAAGCTGCAGAGGAGACTCCACAAGAGCTCTTTGTGATAATTACAATGCAATAATACCTCATTCGCACCAACGCAACTCCGGTTCAAGCTCCGTGCTAGAGCTTTTCAGGTTCAGAACCGGTTCTTCGGTTTAGCTCCGGCTCTTTTCACACAGCCCAGAATTCGACTGGTGCTGTGTCATTGCGTCATTGTTTGCGTCATGACGTAACCGTTTGCGTGCCTGCTTCATAAAGCCAAACCGCGCGGAAACCCCTCACAGCTCACACCGACAACAACAACAATGGCCGATTGTGCTCCAGCTTCCTCTGTACCTCTTCGGAAGACCAGATTCCCAATAAAAAAAAGGCTGGTCTCTTCAGTGGACCACTGCTGCTTGTTAAGTTTCTCCATCGTTGTGTACAAACTGGATAAAACGCCGGCTTTTTGTTGTTGTTCAGGAGTTGATCCCGCCCCTGCCCCTGCCCCGCTTCGATGTAAGCGTGACGTATGCGGTGCTTTTGCTCTAGCCGGACCATTTTTTGGTGCTTGAAACGAACCGGTTTCCGGAGCTAAGAGGCTGCTCCGCTGCGGTGTGAACAGGAAAACCCGGTGCTTTTCAAGCTCCAGCTCCGAACCGGCCCTGAAACACCGTTGGTGTGAATGAGGTATTAGAGGGGCTTTACAAATGTTGGCAGCTGATGACGAAGAGCGTCAGGACACACGGCAAGAGGCCTCTGCGCTGTGTGGCAAACTTGGGAAACTAGAGACTGCTCTGCTGACAATATTTTGGGACACTGTACTGCACCAATTCAACCTTACGAGCACTGGCTTGCAAAAGAAAGACATTGACCTAATGACCGCTGTGCGACTTTTGGAATTGCTGCGCACTTATGTTGCATCACTGCGAGGGACATTTTCTGACTTTGAGACATCTGCCCGGGCCGTCACCGGCGTGACACAGACATACCAGCACGAGACTCACCTTGTTGGTAAAA